CTCTTATTCCTCCAAGCAGCCAGGAGTCAGCCTGAGCATGGTTGCTGTCATATCTACCTAGTGCCACACTCTAATTATATCTTATCAGTGGTTTTGGTAGGAATCAGACATTTTAGAGACATCTGAGACTTTTTAAGTCGAGCCTATCACTTTTCAGGCTTATTGGCAGACAGTGAAAAAGGTACTTTCTAGTCGTGAGGTCCTTTCCATCTAACAGTCTCAGTCTGCTTGAAATTTCCAGTCATTTTTTGGATTGTGGTGTAATCCCTGGAAGGTCTCTTTAGAATGAAGTTACATTACCTTGGTGGGGAACTCATTAACCCAGGGGTGCTCATTGGCATGGACTTGCTCCATTGGAATTGCCATTGGGGAAACAGGTAGATGGGCACCAGCGCGGTAATTTTGATAGAGGTGGGTGGTAAGAGAGAGCGCTGGAGCATGGGAACTGGGGCATTGACTGCCCATGGCAGACAGGAGCAAATGGCACTGGAAGAGGCTATGATGAGGAGGGAACTTGAGGCTTGGGAAGAAGGGAAGTCAGAAGAAAAAGCAGAGAACTTGAGAAGACAGGCACAGGGGACCAACAAGAACACTCAGAGTTTTGCACCAGGATCTTCTACAGCCTGGCCTACAAGGTGATAAGTGCTTTTTTCTCTTTAAATGGAAAAGGAACAAATCATATTCTCAGAAGCTTCCTGAATTGTAAGAATTATACAAATTATTACAAACCCAACATGCGTTGGGTTTATAATTCTGTTTAACTCCTCTCTTTTTCTAAGTAGTAATGGGTTTGTGCTTGGAAGTGAATTGACACGTGAGTCTTCTTATGCCTCCCAGGTCTCCTTTTATGTATGTAGAGTGTTGAACCCAGAGCTGTGCCTATGAATCATCAAACCTAGACAAGAAAGCAGATAAGCTCAGCTTTGAGGCAGTCTTGATAGTATAAACATCTGAAGCCTTGCTGTACTTAGAATGCACATTTAACACCCCCTTTTTTCCTTCGGCCCCCATGCTCATTCACTTTGTAGATTCTGAAGTCATTACAGCACTGTAGAGTGGTCGGTGCGGGGCAGAGGAGACAGGCTCACTGAACTGGGTCATGAGTTCTGGGAACAATCTTGGCCACATCACAGATGCTACTGACCTATAAAAAGTGTTGTTAATCTTCTGTCTGCCTTACAAGATCGGGGAGGAGCAATGAGGTAATGTCTACTTAGACCTTGGAGCTTCTCGGAAGAACAGCCTTCTACAGTAATATGATTTCCTAATGCATTTGTTTGTATTGTAATGGAGTATAATTCCACTTACGTACATTTCTGTAAGTGTCTCTAGAACAGCTGACAGTCTTGCACAGGGGAAACAGTCCAGCCTTGAGAGTGGAGACTGGGCCTAGATTAGGACCCTCAAAGGGGCCTCAGCCAAATGCCCAGCTCTGAATTTGTGAGGTTAAGGGAAGGAAGCCGGGAAGGAAAATATGGGAACTACAGTTGGTGGTGATGGGGAGAGAAAATTGTGATTATCTTCAGAGAGTTTATACCATTACTTTTAAATCATGTTTTACTTAAGATCTGTACCTCAATGCATTTTAAAATATATGTGTGTTTTAATTTAGCAATGTTACATATTGCAGGACTCACCTGTAATGTTGACCCCACTGTTATTCTCTGTATTTGTAGACTCTTAACTCAGCCCCCTTCAAGACTTCATTATGTTCCTTGGGTTCCTTGGGTCACAACCTGGTTGTTTAATAACTCTTTTCCAACTCAGGCACCAGCAGTTCAATACAAATGCTAACAAACTTGTAGATTCATGTGTTAAGTGCTTAGTAAATTGTGGAATAATGCTTCATCTTGTTCTGTAGATAAGGGAGTAAGTTGTTTTTATTGAAAGAGTCCTGAGCAGTGTAGCTTTTTAATTACCTTCTTGAGCAGTATTACAATTGAGTTGTTTTCATAGCCAGTCCTAGAAAAAGAAGTTAAAGGATGTAAGCGAGGGAAGTATATGTATTTCTCATCTCTGACATACTATAAAGATGTCCATGTAGGTGACAGTTATTGTTATCGGACAGTTTTGTTGTGGAAGTTTCTAGAAATGGTTGTTTGGCATTTCAAACCCGTTGTTTCAAAAGGCAGTCATGCTGATTTTAATGAACTTCGAGTAACACTGAGTTACCAGGAAAGACAACAGTATGCCCTCTTTTCCAGAGGTCATCACATAACACTCTTTACTAGTAATGGATCTGTATCTTTAGAGCGATGATACCAATCATATTCCTTTCTCTAGAGGAAGGAAAAGTGTTACAACTTTCATTTGCTAAATTATAGCATGTAATGCAGAGAGGACATATCCTATCACCCAAAATGTGGCCTAAAAAATAAACGCCTACCAGTTTGTGTCATATGCCAGGGACATGTGAAAAAAGGGCATTTTGTCAACTTTAGAACATTTCATATAAGAAAAATGATGTAAAATATGATGGAACTGCTCTTTAGACCAAAATAATCTTTTACTAAAAAAATTATAACTCAGGTTATAGTTCATATGAGTTAGATTGTGAATGATCTTAACAAAACCACACTCTGGTTGGAGGAAGCCATCAAGAGGACATAACAACCAACTGGCCTGTGAGCTAAACCCAGGCAGCTGGAGGCCCCTCGTGGCCTCTCCCAGCCCCAAAATCTATGTTCTGCCCGCTGTTCTCCTGGTGGGAACTTTTTTCAAGGTCTCACTCTCAAGATAATGTTCTTACTGAGACCATACATGACTGAACCCAGTAAGGCCTCTGTGTAAACTACTAAGATTCTGGCAGGAGGGAGCACAGCTCTGTTTGCCTCATGGCCACAGAACAAGCTTTGTTTTTTTTAATTTAAATATATTTTATTGATTATGCCATTACAGTTGTTCTATTTCCCCCTTCATTCCCCTCCACCCTGCACACCCCCTCCCCCACCATTCCCCCCCTTTAGTTTATGACCACGTATCTCAAGTTCTTTAGATTCTATATTTCCCCTACTATTCTTGCCTCCCCCCTCCCTATTTTCTACCTACCATCTATGCTACTTATTTTCTGTACCTTCTCCCCCCTTCTCCTTCTCCCACTTCCCTGTTGATAACCCTCCATGAGATCTTCATTTCTATGGTTCTGCTCCTGATCTAGCTGTCCTATTAGTTTGCTTTTGTTTTAGGTGTGGTACTTAATAACTGTGAGTTTGCTGTCCTTTCACTGTTCATCTTTTTTATCTTCGTTTTCTTAGGTAAGTCCCTTTAACATTTCATATAGTAAAGGCTTGGTGATGATGAACTCCTTGAATTTGATCTTATCTGAGAAGCACTTTATCTGTCCTTCCATTCTAAATGAAAGCTTTGCTAAATAGATCAATCTTGGTTGTAGGTCTTTGGATTTCATGACTTGGAATACTTCTTTCCAGCCCCTTCTTAGCTGTAAGGTGTCTTTTGAGAAATCAGCTGACAGCCTGATGGGAACTCCTTTGTAGGTGACTGTCCCCTTATCTCTTGCTGCTTCTAGAATTCTCTCCATTTTAATTTTGGCTAATGTAATTATGATGTGCTTTGGTGTGTTCCTTTTTGGGTCCAACTTCTTTGGGACTCTCTGAGCTTCCTGGATTTCCTGGAAGTCTATTTGCTTTGCCAGATTGGGGAAATTCTCCTTTATTATTTGTTCAAATAAGTTTTCCACTGGTGGCTGTTCCTCTTCCCCTTCTGGTACCCCTATAATTTAGATGTTGGAATGTTTAAAGATGTCCTGGAGGTTCCTAAGCCTCTCCTCATTTGTTTGAATTCTTGTTTCTTCATCCTTTTCTGTTTGGTCATTTTTTTCCTCTTTCTGGTCCACTCCTTTGATTTCAGTCCCAGTTTCCTTTCCATCACTATTGGTTTCTGTGCATTTCCCTTCTTTTCAATTAGTTTAGCCTTCATATGTTCCTCTAATTTGTGACTAAAAAAATCAACCAGTTCCGTGAGCATCCTGATCATCAGTGTTTTGAACTGTGCATGTGAAAGTTTGGCTATTTCTTCATCGCTTAGATTTATTGGCTCTGGGGCTCTGAGTTGTTCTTGAGCCATGTTTTGATCTGTTTGTGCCTGTTACATACGAGGAGTGGAGCCTTAGTTGTTCACCAGGGTACGGCCAACCTGGTCGCTGGTTTGTGACGCTGCATGTGGGGGCGGGGTCAGAGAGGGATAATGGCGGTCCCCTCTGCTGCTTCCTGCCACTGGGGCCTGTGCGGTCCGTCTCACCACTCGCTCCTTCACCGGTTTGTCTGCGTGCAAATGTGTGACCATGGTCAGCCCTTAGTGAGTCCACCGCCTTGCGCCCTCAGTGGGTCTGCCCGTTGCTACTCCACACCTGGGATCCGCCCACGGCTGCCGGCGCACCTGGGTCTCGTGCCGGGTGGGTCCAGTGGATCTTTCCTGTCCGATCCGCTCTGCTGCTGGCTCTGCCCCTCTTACCGGTTTGGCTGAAGGGTTCGGTGTTGTTAGATTTCTGTATAGTTCAATTTTCTGTGGTTTGGCTGCGTTTTTATTGCTAAAACTTTGTTGTTTTTAAACTTGGTTGTGTGAGAAGGTACATTGCTTCCACCTTCGCTTCCATCTTGGCGGAAGTCCTCAGAACAAGCTTTTTAAGTTCCCTTGCTCATTAAACTGTCATCTGCCAAGCGAGAGTGCTCACTTCTTTCTTTGGTCTCTCTTTGCCCTCAGTGTGTGGGAGCCAGTTTCAGGATTTACCCAGGACGCTCCTGAGACTCGGAACCAATGATTTTCTGTTCCTGACAATTTACTAAAATGTGAATCAGCATTTCTGAATATTAAACAGGTTGTGCAATTTTATGTCTTCATATAAAAGCACCGTGATAAATTTATTATTTTCTGCAGTCATGTATGAATGTGACTAAGACATGCTTTTTAAAAATTTTGGAAAATGTTCTCTTTATATCGATCTACTGTACATTAAGTTGTAATTTATTAAAAATTTGTTTCAGAATCGAAGCAAACGCTTGGAGAAGGTCCACGTGGTTATTGGACATAAATCGTGTGACTTGGATTCTCTCATTTCTGCCTTCACATATGCTTACTTTCTGGACAAGGTGAGGAAAAAGAAGAGTATGCTTTTTAATTTGAATTATGATGTAACTTTTTAGAACAAGTGCTTTTGGGGACTATAAGGAACCTGTTAACTTAAATTTCATGTTCTGGTTTATTGTTCCATTCATCAAAAATACTTGCTGACCACCTACTATACGTTAGGCATTGTCCTCATTATTTGCTCCTGATTCTCTTCATACAACACTATTTCAATGAGACCAATGTTTTCAAATTAAAAATGAAAGTTTTTAACACTATATGCTCAGTGGGATGAGAATTCAGAGAACTACCACAAGTAAGGGTCAGAATTCCCTGTCTCCCTGTAGCATCCCTGCTGCATAGCCATGCCCTTGGGGGTAGGGACCTGGGTGTGGAATAACCCGCATGGACGCCACAGGAAGCCCAGTGCTCACTGGCTGACATTTTCAGGAACAGGGATATTACAGGTCACATCTCTATTCCGTTTTTGCCTTACAACCCGGACTGTGTAGAACAAGGCCATTTTCACCTAATCATGATCTTCCTTGAGTGAGAAACTTTGTACTGCGTAAAGCCTATATAATATGCTTAAAAAAAATTAAAAAGGCCTTTCAGAAAGTTGTTTTAAAATTTCCATTTTGTAAAAATTTGCTATCCCATGATAATGAATTATCTTAAAGCCAAAATAAGGCACATTATGAGTATTTTGGTTCTATTTCCTATTTCTCACAAGTTTAAATTTTCTGGAATCTGTTGGTTTTATTCTAATTTCATTTAGATCCTTGACTCTTAGATTATGCATAGCTGTTCTAGAATGATTTAATTCACATGAAACCCAGTCTTCCAGAATGAGCTGTGGTGGCAAGAATGGCTTTAGGGCAGAAACTGAATGAAATGCTGGATCAAGTATTCTGGTTTCTATATACGGGCTTTATAGCAAATTTATCTTAAAATTTGTTGACCTGTACAAGAGAGATGAATTGATATGAGGAGATGAATGTGCCTGTGTCTAGACATGCATATAAATAGTGTTCTTATTAAGTGGATTTTTGACTCCTAGAAAAAAATATTGCTTGTCTTGAGAACACAGAATTGCCTGAACCAGACTGATTTTTTTAGACTGATAGTGGCATAGTTTTTAAAATATGTATATAATAATTATACCATCAGCAATAACTACAGTGTCTTGAAAAGCAGTTGTGATGGATAAAAGAGACAGATAAAAATAAAGCAATGTGGGGCTTCTTTTCTCCTTCTTCTGAGGTTTGCCACTGAGTATGGAGACAAATATGAATTGCTGAAGGGGTCACACTGGGGATTCACTGTGTTTCTGTGCCTTACTCTTAGTTCACTGGACCCCACCCCCCACCAGAGGGGGACATGTCTATTTTAATTTTTCCTGCAAAACTGGCTCTTCCCTCTTAGAGTAGTAACACATAGGATAAATACAGAGATTTGTACCTTCACACATAAGACTCCATTTAACTGTTTTTCACTCTGATGGGTAAGCCCCATTTTACAGATGGGGAAAACTGAGGCTCAGACAAGAAATTGGCTTTTACAAAACCACACAGCAGTGGCTGGGCCTAGAACTTAGTTCTTCTGACTCTAACCTGTTAGAATAGGTTCAAGCTGCCTGCTCTTGACTCAAGTTTCAATACTAGGAGTTAGATATAGCTCTGTCAATTAATCAGGAAAAATAACTTGCCAGGGACAAATTGCTAACAATTATGATACAATTGTGACTTAATATTAGTTTGACAGGTTGGAGAAAAACTATTTTGTTGGAGTGGCTTTGTGCTTCATATATAATAGCAGTGGGTGATTCATTTTACTCAGCAAATACCTATTAAATGTCTACTTTGCCCCAGACCGCTTTATGCACTGGCAAATGTAACTGAACGAAACAGACAAATGCTCTGCCACTTTAGTGCGAAGAAAGAGAAATGGATGATAAGGCTGTTAAAACTGCATAACAAACACTATGCTTATGGGAGATAAAGGTCATTTACTTTATATAAAAATCCAGTGTTACCAAACTCCACATTCTCTCAGCAATATTTAGGGTTTGTTGCACTCCACTCATAGGATCTCAAAAACCCCTGTATTTTCAAAATTCCTGCAGAAAAACCTGTTTATCATTATGAATCTAAAATTCTCTTTACTCCTACTCATCTCCTGTTTCCCCCATTACCACAATTTTAACAACAGGTTTGTTAATACAGGATTTTAAAAATAATGTAAGAAACCAACAGAAATCATAACAATTCATCTGTAGGCCAAAATCTGGCTCATGAGTGAGTTTTCATTAATCTACATAATATTTTTATTTGAAAAACTAATTGTAATAATTTAACATTACAAATAACACCTCAAGATCCAGATTTCCAACTTTTCCTGAGTAACTGAAAAATTCAGCCATCCTGGGCCGAAATTTTTTGCATACAGACAGTTGGCTGGAGCTGGGTGGCAGGCACCCATGGAGACGGGGCCTGTGTGCCTCTCTGTGTGGCTGCAGCCCTGACCCGTCCTACGTCAGTCATTCTAATTTTCTGCTGCTTCCGTAAAGGAATGAGCATTTATTTCTCCAGAGAAGGAGAATGCATTCATACTTTTTTAAGTTGTAGAGGGGTTGAAATGAGACATAGAATATTTCAAATAAAGCATGAGAAGTTTCATGTAGAGTAACAAGAAGTTAAAAAAATATTAGAGGCCTCTTCCCTGCGGATAATGATCTGCTAGTGGGTTCAGGTCAAGTGGGTTATGAATGTCAAGTGACTTAATGAGGCCAAAGGACTTTTTTCCCCCCATTTACAACTGCTTTTATGTTTAAGAGGTAAGTAATGTAGTGAAATTGTACCTCAAGGCAACATTTGAACCAGAGAAATGAGCACAAACGTGGGTCCATCTCCAGGCAGAGGCTTGGTGCGTTTAGGGATCTTGACAACCTCGCTGCATTTACCAGGGCAGAGTTGGCTCTTTCTGGTTGCTTTTGCCTTGTTCCCTTTACTGGTGCAACTCACCTTGAGAAAACTTAGTTGTATTCTTTCCTCCCGCTGTTGTCAGATTGTTACCTTTTTACTTGGTAGGTCAGCCCACCTGGAGTTCTCTGTCTGCCAGTGCTGAACATACCAAGAACCGAATTCAACTACTTCACAGAGATAAGGTTCATTTTAGAAGAGCTGAATATCTCCGAATCATTCCACATATTCCGAGATGAAATTAATCTGCATCAGCTAAACGATGAAGGAAAGTTGTCTGTAACACTTGTTGGCAGCAACGTGCTGGCGAGGTGAGTGCCGGAGGGTTGGTCTTTCAAGGAAATCTGTGCAGAGTATCATCTTGTTCACAACTTTCGTGGTTTGGGGAAATGTATTAAAGGCAGAGGACATTCAGAGGAAAGAAAATATTTTTTCTTCTCTTATGGCAAAATCTGAGCTAGGCTGGTCCTCTGTTTTTACTTTTGCATTTCAAATATAACATCTTTCAGTGAAAAGTTCTTGTAAAATTGACCAAATTGTAATTTTAAACCACTTTGAACAGTTTGTTAGAGCAATGCAATCGCCCTGTGTATTGATGCTGAAAACAGATAATGAGGAATGGAAATTGAACACTAAATAAAAGTGAAATTTTATTTCAGTGTTAATAAAATTTAGTGTTATTAAACTAAAAAGCTAAAAAAATTAGATAGAAATGTCAGTAGTGAAATGGAAATTTACGTAGATGGGCTATGAAAGTCATTTGATCATTGGATCATCATTCATATTATGAGCAAGATGGATTTTTTTAATCTTCATGAACTCCATATTTTATGGACAAAGAAACCTGACATCTAGTGTTGCAAATGACTTATCCAAGGTACTACATGCAGCTAATAGAGGCGTTTGGATTAGAACTTGGGTCTTCTGCCTCCTTTAATAAGTACCTAAGAATTGCTAACTAGGACAAGATTCTCAAGGTATATAAAGAGTAATAAGACAAATTATCTACCTTCAAGGACATTACAACCCAACACAAAGATGCCCTTTCATAAGCTTCCTAAGTGCCACTTAAGAGTCACAGTTAAGCATTTAGTAGTTTTAGATACTAATTTTTTGGCATACTTTGCCAATTTTCTAGTCATTGATAACATTGACCAGTGGACCTTGACTTTATTATACATGAAGTAAAAACTGGTACAAGTATTTAAGTTTTGCTTAACCTTTTTTAGAAGCATATTTAGGGAACATCAGGTGTGCAGTTGACTCAGTTATGGAGTTTTGAAAGTGATTTGCCTGTGTGGGGCTGCTTTCACTCCTGTGGTGTTGGAAACACACAAGATTCTTTTGACTAATATTTGTCAGTTGGTTGCTGATAACTTGCTGAGTATTATCGGTAGGTTACTTGGCTGACTTCATTTACCAGTATTCAGAATGATCATATACTTTACTAAATTTATCTGTTAACCTTCAGACCAACAAATTCAAGTAGATATTTAAATAAAGACAGTTGAAGAAGCCAAAGGAGTGAACTAGGAAACATGTGTACCATTTGAAATCTTAGGAAGAGTTTTGTTACTGATTAAAATTGACATGTGTTGCTGTTTTTGAGACTGAAGTTGTGAACTCTGGCTTTGGGGTTGTTTATGAAGCAAAAACAAATTGAGATCTTCATTTCCTTCATTGCTACTTCTTTGGTTTGGACACATAGAAAGAATAAAGTTAGCTTTATCCACATCTTCTTGCCTTTGATAAAAGCCAGTATTATCTCACATACTAAAAAATATGCTTGTGGAAGTCAGTAAACCCACAGTATCTTTCCTCCAGCATTGTGACTGGTGTGCACGGTTTGGAGTCAGGATTTACATGGAGCAAGCCTACGTACAGGCCTTCTGGCCATGGGCAAATTTCTGAATTTCTTCATGCTTCTGTCTCTCCCTTTGTAAAATGGGAATTTTTATAGAACCCATTTTATAGTATAAAATGCAATATCTTAAAAGTATTTAAAATAGTGTGTGATCCATACTTGAAGCTCAACAAATGTTAGCCATTACCATTATTATTATAATTTTCCAGCAACAAAGCAAGGGATAGAAGGGCTAAGGTGTGGAGGCACTGTAAGAATCTTGGGGGAGGTTAATTACTTAAAGTGAAATGTGAAAACACATAGAATAAGGTTCTTCTGAGTCATAGGTGCTTACTCATATTTTTGGCTATAGGAGAGGAAGTCATTTGTGTGGGAAAAGAGATGAAATAACTCCAAAAAGTTAGGAAACAAGTCATATCTCCTTCTTTTCCTCTCCTCCATTTGCTTTTCAGTGAGGACAAAACTTTAGAATCAGCTGTGGTCAAAGTCATCAGTCCGGTTGAGCAGAGTGATGCTGGGCTTGAGTTCCGAGAGTCTTCCTCCTCCCTCGTTGTGAAAGAGATTCTGCAGGAGGCTCCCGAGCTCATCACTGAGCAGCTGGCTCATCTCCTCAGAGGTGAGAGATGACTCTTTCTATTAAATACTGGAAGGCTTAATGGAGTGTCTCTTGACTTGCTCATGCAGAAAGAGTGTGATCCATTCTTGGGTTAACAATCCCTTTAAAGACCATGGGAAGCCTCATCAGAGAGGCAGGGAGTAAAGAGTTTGTTAAAGAGTAGCATTATATTGAATATTAAAAATGTGCATTTAAAAATAGGATCTTCGCTTTTTCACAAGACAAGAATATTAAATGGAACTCCTACACCCCTGTTGGGGAGCTGGAGTAGTTCCTCTGCTCTCTCACAGCTTCCAGAGGTGGTTCTTGCCCCATGGTGTGAATGGGGCCAGGATTCCACATTTGCACATTGAAATATTTCCTGATACTGGTACATGCTTAGTTTGTATAGTACTGTTTGGATGGAAAAACTGCACCTTTCATTTTGGCAGTATTGTGCAAGATGGACTTTTATAGTTGAATCCTCACCTCCTTCTCCCCTGTCTTTGACGTGTTCCATTGTCACTCAGCCTACAAGAGACACTCTGGTGCGGAGTCATCACCTACTCCCTACCCCCTATTTCAGCTCCATCGGTGCAGCCCACCACCTCCCAGAAGAGATTTCTAAGCTCCAAACTGTCAGTGGACTTTGGTGCCATGAAAGGACCACATAAATTCTGTACTGTTTCACTTAAGACAGTTTGGGGTTTTGTATTAAGTGTTTTTCCTCTTTCAACACTCTGTCTTAAACGTGGTAGACACAGATTTTTTTCTCAGAAGTATTTAATACAAGAAAGTGAAACACAGTGATGAATAGGCTGAAAGAATTAAAGAAAGGAAAATACCGAGAGAATGTTGATTCAACTCTTTTAAAGCCTTTCCTTTACTTTCTCTCTCCCACCACAATTTGGAGGGAGAAAGGTTTAAGAACTATATAGTTCCTACTAATGTTTTAGAACCAATGGCCCCAATACACCCATTTTAAATATTTTTCTGGCTGATGACATCTGTAAAATGCTCTGTGGGAAACTGTGCCCCCAACTACACTGAGTCAGCACAGGCACTGATCTCCGTGACAGAGCAGAAGGAAAGTAAAGGTAACCGGGGGTCTCAGCCAAGAGGGAAGGTGATCGACTGTACAAATGTGGGATGTAGGCAAACACTAGAGAATGTTCTGTTTGTAAACTAAGAAAGTTGGTTTATTGTTCAAAAAATACATACGTTACTTAGTAGGAAGGAATTGTAGTCAATGAAGAGTTCATCTTCATGATTTTCTATATAGTAAAATTGTCACTCAAACTATAATACGTTGGTACAGTGATGATGTTGTTGATGATGCTGATAATGTTATTCACATTTAAGGAATTGGAAGGAATGGAGACCCTTTTGTTAGTTACTGTGGTTTTAGTTAGCGAAACGACCAAGCATTAAAGCTATGCTGAAGGACTGTGGTTTTTCTCAGCGTTACAGATTTTTCATAAGGTTGGGCTTGACGTAGGATTAGGAAGCAGCCAGAGCAGCAACATCATGTCCTTGTCACTTGAAAATTGGAATGTGAGAGGATGAAGTGCCTCTACTGTGAAGACTGCCAATCCTGATACTGTCACGAGAGCCAGGGTCACTAAAGCCTGGGAAGTAGATGACATGGGTGGCTTATGTAAATGGAAAAGGGGCTCTTGAGAACTTTGCAAAGGTGGGCATGTGTGCACATGTGTGCTACGATGGGGAGGGGAGATGAGACATAGCTGAACAGTGTTGCTCAGAGGGAACTGAAGGATGGTGATGGGACCAGTTTGATTTTAAAGAGGTAACTCAATTGTTCATAAGGGCAATGGGTGACTTTTTAAAGCTCCTGAATTTTAAGAAAATGTAAGAAAGGAATCAAATCAAATCTTTCATTATTCACCAAACTCAAACTTAGATTTCATACTTTTCCAATCATGCATTAACACCAAACCTAAGGGGACGGTTTCTTTTAAATGTGCCTATGAATAATTTTAGCAACCTTTATTTTCATAACATAAATAGTCCTCTTTTCTGTATAAGTAGCTATGATGTTATCTTGTATTTTGGGGTGCTCAAATGATCATTAATTTGACACACCTTTCTAGACCATGTCTTTATGCATTTTTCTAGGTCTTAAAGGAATGCAAAATTTCTATGCACATACCTTTGCCATAAACAATTTTGAAAAATATCTACTTCCAGATGTGAGGTTAGATATTTATGGCTGACTTGGAAGAGTCTTTAAAAACTTCATAATTAGAACTCTGTGGAGGATATGTTACTATAAACTTTCTACCCAAGAAACCTGAATTTACTGCAAACTAAACGCTCCGTCAGTTTGGTTGTTCTTTGCCTCTCATTCTCATGGTCATCTCGAAGAAGCCTTTGTGCTGAGACACATGATGTGCAGTAAGTGGATTTCAGGTGGGCCAAGGTGTTGGTGCCTCCAATCCTTGGAGAGCACCCTGAGTATGCCTCTTAGCCTATATAGCTGAAAAATGTAATTTCCAATGCATTTCTTCCTTTTTAAAGATTTTATTTATTTTTTTTTAGAGAGGGGGAAGGGAGGGAGAAAGAGAGGGAGAGAAACATCAAGGTGTGCTTGCTTCTTGTACACTCCCTACTGGGGACCAGGCCTGCAACCCAGGCATGTGCCATTACAGGGAATTGAACCAACGACCCCTTGCTCCACAGGCCAGCGCTCGATCCACTGAGCCATACCAGCCAGGGCCCAATGCATTTCTTAATTTCCAAAAGGCTTGGCCTACTCTTCCTTAGTTTTGCTTGTTAGCTCTTCTCTGTTCAACTTCTAAGTATTGCAGTATCCTAGGACTTTGTCTTGGGCACTTTGCTCTATACACTAACCTCATTTATCTTTTAGTTCTGAGACTTTAACTGGTGAAAGATTTATATGATCCAAAGAGAAAGCAGAGTATATAGTTCTGAGACTTTACGTTCAGTACTTGGGCTGTGACTCCCTGTATCTCCCACTGTAGCCACTGCTGGAATTCCAGGTTTACTTCCAGTGCCCACAGGACATCTTCACTTGCATGTCCAGTTTGTGCCACCACCTTTATCATGGCTGTAATGGAACCCTGTAGTTCCCTGTACCGGCAAAGCTGCTCTCATCCATTTCCCCTTTTCAGCCAAGGGGTAAACATAACTGTGATCACTACTAGCGATCCAATCCAAGCCACGGTTCTGTCTCTACTCAGCTAAGGCAATAGCCTCCAGGTTGATGCCCTATTTCCTCCACAAAATCTGTTGCATTACCAGTCAGAACAACTTTTGAAAAATATAAACCAGGTCCTACCATTCCCTTGCTTAAAGCCCATCATACTCAAAATCCAAGTGCAAAAACCCGCCCTTATAAGCTGCAACACAATCTTTCCCCTCCCACTCTAACATTACCTCACGCTATGTCCCAGTTTCCCACTGTGTGCCCCAAGGACAGGGGCTTTTCAGTCTTTCAGATACGCCCCACTCCAAATCCACTAAGGAATATTTACATCAGCTGTCCTCTCCTTCTGAAATGCATGTTGCTGTCCCCTTATTTTTCTGCCCTGTCACTGGTCTCCTCCTCCCTCTTCACCCCTCACTCCAGACCGCAAGCTTCGTGAGAAAAGGGACTTTACCTGTTTTGTTTACTGCTCCACTGTTGTGTCTCTGGTGCCTGGAGCAGTGCCAGCTGCATGGCGGGCCCTCAGTAAATACTATCATAAAATGAATTCTGCAAGGTCGTTTGTATTCTTTCTATTTTTTATGGCTAAGTTGATTTAATTGTGCTATGATATTTTTAATTTCCACTGCGTTCCAGCCCATCCCTCCAACATTCATAATGTCCAGACTTTGGACTCTGTTCATTTTAATATATTTTTTTAGCTTTTAGAAATCCTAGTAGAATTTGTCTGTATACATGTGCAGAAAAAAATGTAAAATATGAATATAACAACATCAATATGTGAGTTATTAGAAAAGGAATACCCTCTTGCTAGTAAATCAGGTAAAGAAATACGAGATGTGCCTCTTTGATTACTGTTCACTCCCTCTCTAATTAAAGGTGACCAGCCTTGTGATTTTTATGGCTCACAGTTGCTTGCATTTCTTTGTAGTTTTACCACCCTTGTATGTGCTCCAGGACTCCATGACCATTGGTTGTGCCTGTTTTATAAGTTATGTAACAAGAGTCATGGTGTGCACTCTCACTGTTATTAGTTCTCTGCATTTACGTTAACTGTAGTGTCCATGTGTGTGGGTCAGTTATCTATCATCCGTCTATCTGCTATTTACTTATTTATTATCAATGTCCTTCCTTCTTTCATAATAAAACCAAAAAATGTCATGGTCAGGAAACAAAACCATGCAGAGAAAGGAATGAGATTAACACATAATTTAAGGAGTGAAAACAGTATTCCATTTGAAACTTTGGTTATGAGCTTCCAGGAATCAATGAAAAAGTGGAAATGTAATCAATCACAATACGTACTTTATTACTAAGACACACATACAAGTTCCTCATTAAGACAAATCTAAGTCTCACGTATTTTGTTCCTTGCTTCAGTCTCCTTGAAAAGACTCTTCATGTCAGAGACAGGCTCCAACACACGTGACAGCGGCTCCCAGTGCTTCTGCTTTTCAGACGGTGTGTGAAAGTTGTTTCCGATTCACTCCACCTTTAGTCTCTTGGAGATCATAAATGACTCTGACTTTTTCACCTTTAGTAACCTTATTTTCTGTTCCAAATTTTTTGTAGACATGCCGACATTTTGTCTAAATATAGGAAGTGAATATTTAAAGTCAGTCATGTTACAATTTTTTTTAGCCTTATACTTTAGTGCTGTGACTCTGTATCAGATTGTTTGCATTATGGGAGAATACTGCCTTAAAATATTGAGATAGGGCCTGATTATTGGGGATGCGGTTAAAAGATCAGTTATGTATCACATAGAAGTAGGTGGTGTGTTGCCGGGGTAGAGGTAACCTGCCGTGTTTCTCTAACAGTCTCCCCTATTACT